TTCGGAGGGCAGTTCCGCAACAGGCGGTAAGAGCAGAAAGGTATGTCCTCTTTTTTTAAAAAAATATATTTTTTATTGATTAAGATATTACATATGTGTGGTATGTCCTCTTTTTGACCCAGAAGTCCCTGCCTCAGCAACGTGTCCTGAGGACAATGACTAGAGGAATCGGCGAATCTGTAGATTCAGGGGCGTCTTCTCAGCATTGTTAGCAACATTGAAAAACAAACAAAAAAAACCCCCAAGTGTCCAACCATAGGAGACCGCTTTATTGTATTGTGTACACCCAGGAAAATGCTATGTAGCTTTTAAGACCAAATGATATAAGCTTTTATTTATTAACGCTGGGAAACAGTAAGCATTTACGATTTTTAAATGTGCATGGTATTAATTCACTGTGAGATATGAACACATGATTTATTTACTTCTAGGTGATATATAAAAACAAGACTAGAAGAGTGTACATTAAATATTAATGTTGATTTCTTAGGGTAGCATTCCCTTTCTACGTTATAAAATTTTGCTTTTTAATGCCATCTACTTATTTTTCTAAAATCAACACTATGACAGACATAATTTAAACAACATGCACCCCGATGTTCATGGGAGCGACTCCCCTGGTGAGGAGCCTACGTGCTGGTGTCAGCACGGGCTGGAGCAGAAGGAGCCCTCATCCCAAGGTCAAGGAGGAAGGGGAAATGGGGGTCAGGAAGTAGACTAGCCTGACAGGCGCTGTTTTTCCATTTTTCTCTTACTTAGCAACAGTGTACACACATCCCTCCCCAGCACACACACGCGTGTGTGCACACACACACACACACACACACACGACGCAAAGCTGATCACAGGCGCCTAGGACGTCAATGTGCTGGGAAGAAACAGGGCATCCCTCCCCAGCACACACACGCGTGTGTGCGCGCACACACACACACACACACACACACACGACGCAAAGCTGATCACAGGCGCCTAGGACGTCAATGTGCTGGGAAGAAACAGGCAGGAGCTTGGCGGGGCGGCCGACTGGGGGCAGAGGCAGAGGACAGAGTTAAAACCAGCCTCCCACTCCTCAGAAAAAGAGTTTGTTGTCCCCATTTCACAGATGGAGAAATGGAGGCCAGCTAAGTTACAATAGAAGCAAGCTCTGGGGTTGGACCCTGGCCTGTCTGACCCCGAAGCCTGATCGGGCTCTGCCATTCGCCAGCTCCAAACTGGGCCTCGTGCTAAGCACCAGAAGTTCCGTCTGCCTTGTCTCTGGGACATCACGGTCTGTTCCTGCCTGGCAGACGGCGCCCGTGCAGATGGCACCCGCGCAGACGGCACCCACGCAGACATCGCCGGCTGACCAGGCAGCCGCCCTGAATCAGAGTTGCCTGCCGAGATGAAAGCTATGAGGTTTTACCTTGACTCATCGAAACAGACAAGTCATACAAACACCATGAAATCTTACCGTCAGATGAGGATTTGAAGGCAAAGTTAGTAAACAGTCAGTTCCATCCACAAAGCGCTTACCGTGCCTACAGGCTCATCCTACCCAGAGGCGTTCTCACCCACACTGAAGGCCAAGGGCCGGAGTGAGGGTCACATGTCTGCATCCGGACCCTCAGACGTTCTGCTGTGAAGGCGGCTGTGGAAACCGTGGTGACAGGGCCGCGGGGAAGCCCGTGCGTGCGGCCCCCTGGCCCGCGGAGAGAGCCTGCTCTGCCTTAAAGTTAAGCCCCGCAGCGGCAGGGCACGCTACGTAGTCACATCTCACGCTGGAGTCATACCGCTCACGTTTAAAAATCTTAAATGCTTCTTGTTTTCCCAGTTCATAGACAAAAGCTTTCATCATTGGTCTTAAGAGCTACGTAGTATTTCCTGGGTGTACACATTACAATAAAGCCGTCTCCTGCTGTTGGACACTCCAGGTGTTGGTTGTTGGGATTCAACAAACTAACCTGTAATAGGCGTTAGAAAACGTATGCTGGATTCGAAAATACCTCGTTTATTCTGAGTCATAAAAATGCACTCTTATATATGTATGTATTTTTATTGATTTTAGAGAGGAGGGGAGAGGGAGAGAAAGGTAGAAACATCAATGATGAAAGTCAGCATCCCCCCCCCCCCCCCCCCCCGGAGATTGAGCCCACAACCTGGGCACGTACCCTGACCAGGAATCGAACCAGGACCTTCTGGTTCATAGGTCGATGCTCAACCACTGAGCTATGTGGGCTGGGGACACAAATGTGTTTTATGAAAAGCTGCGAGGAACCTGGTCCCCAGCTTCCAGTCCTCTCACCACAGCCACCCTCCCTCCTCCCTCATCTCACTGGCCTCATCTCACCAAGGTGTCAGAGGCGGCTGGACGAGTGAGGGAGCCCAGGGGAGCGAGAAGACCAATCTCTTTGCCTGAGAGCGACACTCACTCTGGAGCTGATGGCTTCCAGCTGGAGATCCTTCTCTTTGTTCTCACTTTTCAGTTGGTTCACCTCCTGCCTCAGCTGTTGAACTTCCTCATCCTTGGCTATCACATCTCTTTGCAAAGAGGACACCATCCCTGTGTGAAAAGCAAACAGACCACAACAGACTCACCGAGGTCAAAGAGGCAACAAGGATTCCTGTCATCACCTCTGCTATCAGCCAACATGGACCCCTGAGAATGGGCGGGGCTGTTTGTTACTGCAGCATAACCCTGCGGCTCAGTCTTGGATGTGCACACAGAACACCTGGGATCTTGCTGATGTCTGGGCGGGGGCCCGAGACTCGGGGCGTGACCGATGCTGGCTGTCTGGGGGGACCAAACAAAATGGTATCTGAGAGGCTTGAAGTGTGGCTGAGGCCCGATGAGCAGATATGGGGGGGGGCGGGCGGGCAGGGAGGCAAGGGCTCAGCGAGTTCCTCTCTATATTCCTGATGCTCGGAGCAGTGCCTGGCCCGTACAGGGCGCTCAGCAAATGTCTTAGGATAGTCCAGGTTAGAGGGGAGCATGAGCGGAGGCCTGGCAGGGTGGCATGGGGTAGAGGACGTGGGTGTGAGTGTGCAAAGAGTGAGGCCGTGGAAAAGCCAGCGGTCAGGCTGGCCCTGGGCACAGCACACAGATTCGCACACGGCTCAGCCTATGCTGCGTACGGCACTTGAATAACAACAGCCCCAAGGCGTGGCTCAGTGGTTGAGTGTGGACTTAGGAACCAGGAGGCCAGGGTTCAATTCCTGGTCAGGGCACAGGCCCAGGTTGTGGGTTCGATCCCCAGTGTGGGGTGTGCAGGAGGCAACCCATCGATGATTCTCTCTCATCACTGATGTTCCTAACTCTCTCCCTTTGCCTTCTTCTCTGAAGTCAATAAAAATGTTAAAAGAATAATAGCCCCGCCCCAGACTCAATGCCTGCTTCTCTCCCTCCCTTTTTCCTGGTGACTGACCATGCTCTTCAGTCTCTAGGCATCTCATTTTCTGCTTAAAAAACTCCAATGGCTTCACAGCGCCCTTAGAACGAGATCCAGACTCCTCCCTGAGAGCTAGGCCTGCCTCCCGCCTGACCATGCCCATCCCCAGGGGCCCTGGTTCCACCACTCCAGCCCCATGGGCTTCCGCGCCCCCCACCCGGCCAGCTCGCCCAGCCTCGGGGCCTCTGCACGGTGCTCTCTGCTCTTCCTTCACCTCCTCCGAGACCTGTCCTGCCCACCCACGAAGCTCTTCTCCCTCTGCTTCACCCCCTGAAGCACTCTGCCACCACGTTGCCCAGTTTTCTCTGAAATGGGCTGGTTTATTCACGTTCACTTCTTTTTGTCCGTCACCCACTCCCAGATGTGAGCCCCGTGAGTTCAGAGACCGGACGCTTGGCTCTCTCCCCAGCCTCAGGACAGGTCCTGGCACCTAGTAGGCGCTCAGTAAACGCATGGAAGGAATGAAGGAGCCTGGGTTAAGAGTCCTGTGCCCTGGCCCAGGCACTGGCTGCCCCTCCTCCACCCTGGGCTTTGGGGTAGGACCACCCCGTCAGTCAATTAGAAGAACATCCTCACTCAGCCCTCGTGTTAAAGCCGTGGCCCCACGGGGCCCACATTCCAGCTTGTGTCCAGGGCCAGGTGGCTTACGGAGCTGCCCCAGCCCCACGGCGCCCCGCGTTCTCATGGGGAGCCCAGGGCTCAGCAGACCTTCCAGCTAAGAGGTCACATTCACTCAAATATTTAGCAGGCCCCGCCCCAGGACCTGGATGGCAATAAGCCTCCCTCAGGGGCAATCGGGAATCCACTGACCCCCCTGCCGAAGGCCCGCCCCCCGGAGGAGGGGCAGCGGCTGTGGCCCTGGGATGAGCGGAGGGGGCAGTCCTGGGGCCCGAGCCCGGGAGAGCGCACCTGACGTGATGGCGTTGTCCCTCCTCAAGTTCTCGCCCTCGCTCTTCAGGGAGGTAATCTCCAAGTTCCTCTCGGACAGGGTGTGGCACAGCACCTGGCTGTAGCCCTGCTGCAGGGCGCTGACCTGCGGGCGGAGGCAGGACAGTCAGAGAGGCCGCCCAGGTCAAGGGGTCACCTGATCCTGGGTTGGGCTGTGGGGGAAACGCCTGCTTTTCGCTGTTAAAAGCACGGGAGAGGATTGTTCCTTCAGTGCCACCGTTTGCTGTGCTATCTTTGTGCACACACAGGGGCCCGGGCACGGCTGCCACCGGGATAGCTGATCCCCCAATGTGCCTGCCTTGACCTTTGAACTCTCAGCCATCTATAGACCAGCCCTTGGTTCCAGATCATCCGCAGCCCTGGATGTGGAGGAAAATTCAGGAGAGGGAAGCAGGTTACAGAATTCCCTCCAATGGTCGTAACAAGGGTGTGTAGGTCACAGAGCATGCCAGAGCTTCCTGAGCCTGTTCTCACGTGCTACTTCTTCTTCTTTTTTTTAAAAAAAAACCACATATTTTTATTGATTTCAGAGAGGAAGGGAGAGGGAGAGATAGAAACATCATTGATAGGAGAGGATCATCGATTAGCTGCCTCCTGCACGCCCCCTCCTGGGGATCAAACCCACCACTTGGGTACATACTCTGCCCAGGAATGGAACTGTGACCTCCTGGTTCATAGGGTGACGTCCAACCCCTGAGCCACGCCGGCTGGCACAGATGCTACTTCTTGACAGCTCGTCGCAGCGTCACTGAAGGCTGGCGTCTCATGACAGTTGCCATTTTGCAAGTGAGCATGAGGCTCAGAGAGGCGAGGTCGCTGGCGCCGGGCCACACCGCCGGTCAGAGCTGGAATTAGGACTCACATCTCGGCTTTAGCTCCAGTTCTGCCCGCCCTGTCCCACGGCTCTAGGAACCCGCACGACAAGCCAGAGGCTATGAAGCCTCGCGTGGCCTCGGGGCCAGCCTGCGACCTTCAAATCCGGTCTCTGCCACTTCCAGGCCGTGGGAACACGGGGAGGACACCCAACCTTGCTTCCTTTTTCATTCTGCAAGTGGGGTGATGGGAGGCCCAATCTGGTAGTATTGTGAGAATCTATACTAATAAAAGGGTAATATGCTAATTAGACCAGACATCTTCCAGATGACCTTCCGGACATCCTTCCAGACAAAAGCCATGCTGGCGGGGATAAGGCAGAGCGTCGACCTATGAACCGGGAGGTCACACTTCGATTCCTGGTTGGGGCACATGCCCAGGTTGTGGGCTCCATCCCCAGTGGGGGGTGTGCAGGAGGCAGCTGATTAATGATTCTCTATCATTGATGTTTTTTTCTCTCTCTCCCTCTCCTTTCCTCTCTGAAATCAATAAAAATATATTTTTAGAAAAAGAGCAAATACATGAATCCTAGGTAATGGTCCTATGCTGTAAGCATAGCAAAAAAAATGATGTGGGTGGGGTAAGCTCACATAATGTGGTGAGAGCCTCGCCACCAGATGGCGCTCACAACCTTTTATTCTCGGTTTTGGTCTCAGAAAAATCTAGTCATTATTTCTCAGCTAGAATTAACTGGACCATCAAGGTTTCCTTTCATTTTCTGACCCATTTCCTGCACCATCTGTGACATTTGGGGCAGTAACATTTACTTTTTCCCTGGGGGCATCTGAAACATGCAACTTTTCCATACAGGGCATTTGGAATAATTTATTTTAAAAAGTATCTAGCTCTTCTCAGCTTAATGCTTTTATTTGCATGATACCAGAGGCACGACAGAAACTTCCAGAAGGGATGGGAAAACACCCTCCCCCAAAGACTCCAGTGCTTCCGACAGATATAAAATATTTCATCCGAAGCATCAGAGCTTCAGGGTTTCAGATTGTGGGAAAACTCCAAACAGTCTTCAAACCCCTTTATTTCTTTCACAACCAAAATAAATGTCCGTATTGTCTGTAACCGGCAAAAGCACCAGGCAACTGAGCATCTGTCCTGCTGTGCCACGAAGCAGGCACCACGAGAGCGGCCACAGGGCCGGGTGGAGCTGGGTGGGGGTGGGGGGGTTCCGAGACAACGACCCGACCTGCGGCTGGTTGGTAGAGGCTGCAGGAGCTTGGTGACATCGCAGGCTGAAGATCTTTGAGGGCAGATCCTTGCGCACATACTGGGGCGGGGGGAGGGGAGGCTCAGGGAGAATATAAAACAATCAGACCAATAGGCCAACCTGCCATGTGCCGTGGGCCGTGGACCGTGGACTTCCGGCCGAAGGTCCTGCAGGCAATAGAATGTCTAAGAAACTAACATACGAATGGGTGAACCTCGATTTGAGTTCAAACCCGCTGCGGCCTCTTGTTCAGAGATGTCTTGTTCTAAATGTTCTCCTTCAGTTGTAAGAGAAGATCAGGGGAGGGAGGCAGGCCACAGGAGGATGAGTCGGTGTGATTATTTCTAGGTCATTTCTTTCTTGTTTTAAAAAACCTTTTCCAGATATCACTAGCCACTTTAAACAACACTTAACTGTGACCTGCCAGCAGCCAAAGATTTGTGGGAATTGCACAATTAGATGTCAAGTACATTTCGACGAGAACAAAGGTGTGTGGGGAATGTTCATCCTCGTCCACGTACCTGGACAAGACGTGCCCCTTCTGCTCGGGAAAGCGGTGGAATGGGACAGTAACTGAAGGGCTGCTGCTCCACCCAACGGCCAGATTGGGTTCAGAAAAGAAAGACGCTCACGACGAGCCAGCTGCAGGCCAGGCAACTGTGTGCCGAGGCCGCTCCTGCGGGACCAGCTACTGACACTGGCTTTTCATAAACGGGTCTGAAGAGAGTCATTTGCTCGTTTAGACGTCAGAGCCTGTCTGTGTTTCCTTGGCTTTCTGTCTCCCTCACGGGAATGCAGTCGGGAGGAGGCAAGGGTCAGGTCTGCCTTGTTCTTTGCTGAATTCCCAGAGCCTGGGAGAGGGCATGGCACGAGGTAGGCGCCCCTCAAATATTTATTTGAGCGAATGAATGAATGAGTGAATGAACAGACACGGGCCTATCTGAGTAATGAAGGTCACAGGGTCTAGTCTTTGCCCTCCTGGAGCTCACAGTCTCCTGTGAGAATCTCCTGGGTCCACCACACAACCTATTCCTTTTCTAGGCACCCCGTCTGGGCCTGAGGCTGCGCCCCTTACGTTGGTTACGGAAGAGAAAGGCAGTGACGGGGCCAGAGAGCAGGGGCCCCGTGCCTGACCCAGGTTCTAAGCCGCACTGTGCACCGGGGCCAGCACTCATTAGCGGCCAATTTCTTCTCTTCAGTCACCTTTGTTGAGATGTAATTTATGTGTACAATCTGTGGACAACTTTACAGTAGTCCTTAAAAAAACAAACGGGATCTGGTTTGGAAAGAGAGAACATGACTGGTGCTTCCAGGAATGCTGGGTGGAGGATTTTTGTTTGATGGAATTCCCCACGAGTGAGCCAGCAGCTACCCTCGGGTGTTGGCAAAGGCCTCAGGGTTTGGCACGCTGGGGTTCCGTGCCCCCCTGTCCAGCTCACTGTCCATGGCTCTTTCTGGGGCTGGGTGGGGCTGGGAGGTGGGGGGAGAGGTGGTCCCTGAAGCGGCAGAGTTGGGTGGAAATATCAAGTGGGGTGAGAGCCTGGGGTCGGCCGAGAGTTCAAATCGTGCGGCCCTCGCCCCCTGGCTGTGCAGCTGTGCCGCGTGGCCGGCGTCTCTGAGCCTGCCCCGGTCTCCTGTCTGCAGGATGGAACGTGTCGGAGGACTGGGAGGTTACAAACTAAAGCCTTGCACCAGTTCTTGCACATAGTAGGTGCTTAGTCAAAGTGAGTATGGTTCTTATCAGGCTGGAAACCTGCCAAGCTCTCACCCCTGGGACTTGTGCTCTGGCCCACCACGGGCGCTGACCCCCCCCCCCGAGAGCCGTCACCCTGCGTCCTGACCCGGTCCTCGCTGGGGGACGGTCTCAGAGTCCTACCTGGCTTTTCAGGCTCTGGATCTCTCTCTGCTTGGCGGCGATGTCCTCGTCCAGCCCCGGGCACTTCTGCGAGGCGCCCCGCTGGCCCCTGGGGAAGGTGGTCTCCGACAGCAGCGTCTGACTCAGGCTGGCCAGCTCGTCCTGCAGGTTCGCGATCACCGCGTCTTTGTACTTGGATTCGAGCTCGAAGTCCGAGAGGCGGCTGACCTCTCTTCCCAGCAGCAGGATGATTTCATCCTGGGGGGCGGGGGGCGGGCAGATGGCAGGTTACTGGGTGCGGGCCTGGGGGCAAGGTTACGCCCATTAACAACGATATAGGAAACGTGTGATGTAATTCTTTTAGGAAGAGCAGAGTGGGCGGGGGGATGGGGGTGGGGGGGAGAGGCAGGCCTGCAAGGCTCGCTCTGTCACTTGGAAAACCTCACGGAGACCCGAGTTTGGTTGAAATGAGCCACTTGTGTCTGGTCCAGTGATGGCGAACCTATGACACGCGTGTCAGAGGTGACACGCAAACTCATTTTTTTGGTTGATTTTTCTTGTTAAATGGCATTTAAATATACAAAATAAATATCAAAAATATAAGCCTTTGTTTTACTATGGCTGCAAAGATCAAAACATTTCTCTATGTGACACGGCACCAGAGTTAAGTTAGGGCTTTTCAAAATGCTGACACGCTGAGCTCCAAAGGTTCGCCGTCACTGGTGTAGGCTCCTGTAAGTGGACCCTGTGCCTCAGGCACTAACGCTTTCCCTTCCCCTAAAGTTAGACGTTCACGTTGAGCACAACCCTCCCTGCTGGGAACTTTGGCTGCTAGAGCGTTTATCATATTTATTAAATTGCATCACGCTCAGCCCAGTACCCGGGGGACCTAGGAAAGGTAGCTAGGGAAGCGGCATTCTATTCAACCACGCTCTGCTTAGAACGAGGACTAGTTTTTAACTTCAGAAAAGTTAATATATTCTGACACGTTTCCTTTCTCTCTCCACGCTGCGGGTACGACTGCCTGCCCCTTCTGGTTGTTCACGTAAAAATGTCTCCCAGGAAACCGGACCTGGAAAGTAAATGAGGCAGGAGCCAGGCGTTCTGTGTGAGGGCGCGTGCGCACCCTGGCCTGGAAAACAAGCCTCTGGCCGACTTCCCCACAGGTGTGTTCACCCCGTCCCCTCTCTCGGAGAGAAAGAGTCCTGCAGCCAAATAATTTGTGGTTCCCCTGAAAGGAAAAAAAAATCCCCCAAACTCGCCACTAGACGTCATCGTTACACTATCAGAAAGACTGAAGAAAAGAAAAAAAAAAGAAGCCCAGATGCATTCTCAAATGCAGCTATAGAATTTCCGCCTTGAAGGAATTCCTGCTCTTCCAACAATTTCCTATCGGTTGGAAGGAGCTAAGTGGGCAGTTTCCAGGCCGGCTCGCTGCCTGGGGAGCTGTCCGATCAGCCTCACGACCTCCCCGTCCCCTGACCTGGGGAAGGACAGCCTGCCTGGCACTGCCAGCTGCTGCCAAGGGTCTCCGAAAATGCTTGTGGCAAAATGTCAAGGGACGGGCATCAAACGTCCTGTACCCCTGGGCAGCCTCCCAAAGCCTCCATGCTCAGCCAGTATTCGTGCAACACGCATTAATTGAGCAGCTACTATGTGCCAGGCCCCGTGCTGGGCGCTGGAGTACAAAGAAGCCTGCAGGGTGTGATGCCCAGCTGTGGTTTCTGCCTTCCTGGGGAGGACCCTGTCCCTTCCTAGAGGGAGCGTTCCCCCTTCCACGGGGCCCTGGTCAGACTGGAAATCCCGTGCCCTGCTCCTTTCTGTCCCGCCTCCCCACATGCATGTGACTCGGGCTGGTCCGTCAGAGTTTCCTCAGAGATTTCACGTGTCAATTGCAGAGGGAAAGGGTCTTGACTCCTTTGGGGTCCTAACTGCAAAGGCACAGGCTTGGTTGCTTGCGTTTGTTTTTCCCACACGTGCAGCCAGCCTGCTGCCGAAAGCCAGACTCTGAGGGAAACGGGAGACGGCCAGAGGGACTGTTCTGAGGACATCACTGGAGCCCCCGGATCTCACCAGGCCTGAAGCCAGCGGCCTTCACACCTCCAGCAGCAGGAGCCGACAGTGGCTCCCTGTTGTTTGGCGTAAGCTAATTTGTTCATTGTTATCGTACTCGAAGGAGTCCTGGCAAGTCAGGGCATCAGTGACTCACAAATAGGAAAATCTATCAATGTGGTTACGCTGTATTTCCAGTCTGACAACTGGGGTGGACTGGAAAATGGCTACAGATGCTTGGCAGCTTTGCCATCAAGTGGTGGAGTCTGTTTCCCCACCCTCTCAACCGAGGCTGGCCTGCCACTTGCTGTGACCAACTGAATACGGTGGAAGTGACGTTGGGCCATCTCTATGCAAGTTCTTTAAAAAAAAATTTTTTTTTTATTGATTTACTTTTTTAGAGAGAAAATCATCAACCTGATGTTCCATCTATTCACATATTATCTCTATGCAAGTTCTTAAGGCCACTGGCTGACTGTGGTTACATGAGTGAGGCCAGGGGACAGCAGCAGAGGAACCTTCCGGGGCAACCCCCAGATTCTGGGAAATAATAAATGGCTGTTTTAAGCCACTACGTTTTGGGTGGCTTGTTACACGGCAGTAGGTAACGGATACAGCGCCCGAGCCTGGCTTCTCACCTTACGGCCACATTTCTCAAAGCCTGGTCTCGGGACACCTGTGTCAGAACCTCTAGTATCTAACCAGAACCCTGGGGGCGCCCCTCCTCCCAGACTCTGAGAAGGGCTGCCGGCTCAGGCCCTGCGCCTCCGGAAAGCAAGGTGCCCTATGACCTGCCTCTTGTCGGATAATGTCCAGTTGTGTCTAAGGGAGAAATCCGCGGGACCCTCCCCAGGACAGCTGGAGTTCACCTGTTCAGGCCTCGGACCCTGTTCCACACTATAAACCTCTCTGGTTCTCTCTTCGCTCTCAGTCCTCTCTGACCCCAGTGCTCACCTCTCCCTGCCAGGAAATGTGTTTCCCCACCGTCCATCCTCCTGGTTGACCAGTTACTAGGGGAGAGTTGGAAGGACCAGCCTAGAGGTTAACCAGACCTAGGTTTGAATTCCAACTCTGCCCCTCACCCTGGGCAACCTTGGGAAAGTTACTTAACCTCTCTTAGCGTCAGTTCCCTCATCCGTAAAGTGAGGGTGAAAGGATCTATTTGGAAGGTGGTGAAGATGTACAAGCTCAGTGCATGTTGAGTGCCCAGGACACGGCCCAGCGCACAGTAGGTGCTCAACACATTGTGGTTGTAGGTGATGTGCCTTGGGACCAAAGGAGCAGTTCCCAAAGAGCTGGCTGAGCGTCCTGGGGGAGGAAGAGGTGGTTTCTGGGACAAGAGGCAGGGGCAGTCCCTCCGCGGCCCTGCTTGCTGCCGGGGCCCGTCCTTCCCCTTTGACCCCTCACCTTGTCCTGCTGGGCCAGGTCCGGGTCCACATAAAACTCCCCGGGAGGGGCTGCCCCGGGCACGCCCTCAGCCACCGATTGTTCCAGCAGCTCCGCGGCGCTGGCCCACACTAGCGCAAGGGCAACAGAGAGCACAGGGGAGGTTCTGAGCTTCCCTAAGGTCTTAGAGAAGCTTTCAGATTCCCCCTCACATCCATTTCCCGCTGAGATGTACATCTCATGTCATTAAACAATGACAGAGCGGTGTGTACGTTCCTTGCAAAACAATGGAAGCAGCAGACACGTGTTAGAAAGGGGAAGGGCCGCCTCATTCCTCTTCCCGGGCATTAACTGCTGATTCACGTGGATGAGTCTCTTTCCAGACTTTTTCCGACGCCGCAAAAGAGCCGATGACCTCAGGCAGGTCATTACTCTCTCTAAACCTTAGTTTCCACAGACATCATCTAGGGATGCTAACAGCCTCGGTTATACAGGGCTGAGGATGACATGAAATAACCATGTAGAGCTGGGGTTGGCAAACCACGGACCTAGGGACAAATCTGGCCCTCCGCTTGTTTTTGTAAATAAAGTTTTATTGGAACACAGCCGCAGTCATTCATTCTGTGGCTGAACCCAGCTACAATGGCAGAGTTGAGTAGTAGCAATGGAGACCTTCTAGCCAACAAAGACTGAAATATTTGCTATCTGGCTCCTTACAGGAAAGTGTCTGCCACAGAGCTAGAGCACTGAGCACTAAATGCTGGTTATTTTTATTGCAATAAATAAAAACATAAAAAATACATGTTTCAATTGCAGAGATTTTTTTTTCACCTGACAGTGTATCACGAAGCCCTTCCCATGTCAGTATTTATGGAGATACTGCCTTCTTTTCACAGTAGCATTGTATCCACTCATTGCACAAGGGTCCCCAAACATATTTAGCTAGAACCCACTTGATAGATGTTTGGTTTCCTGACTTTTTCTCTTATTAACTCAAAATGACAGGGGCTGTTGAAATGACTCCGAGGGGCTCTGACACAGTTTTGTTTGGGGGCCCCACTTTATCGAACGTATCAGGCTGGGGAAGTGCATTCACATGGACACTGAGTACACTTTTTGGTGTGGAAACTTTTGAAGGGCTTTCTGTAATTCTGCGTTTGAGCTCGCTCGGCTCTGAGCACTGCATTTTACGTTTCCAACTGACTACGATTTCTGGGTGCATTCTTGTCTTTTTGTGAAGTGGTCAATTGAACCAATTCTTTTCAAGGGCAATGAAACATTCATGGTGTTGACACTAACCATGAATGAAGTACGCACTGTCACACCCGTGGACGTCCATTCATTCACGCATTCATTCTGATCCCGCACTTTTATTTGTGCATCTTAGAGCCGATGACTCCCCCCCAGGTCTCAGACAAGCGGAGCCCCGCTCAGCTACGTCCAAGGTGCTTTCCCTGTGCTGGCAAACACGGCCGAAGTCCGACACCCTCTGGTGCAGCTGGACCTCGGGTCACGTCCCTGCCCTGCCCAGCCCTGGCCATCACTTCTCATTCTTACATGGTCTCAAGCCATGTTCCTCTGGGAGCACACCCGTCAGCCACACTGACCACCCCTCGCACTCGCCCCCCGCCCCCAACATGGCCCTCAGGGTCCCTTCCACCCTGTTCCTCCCCTACGTTCTCAGCGAATGTCACTTGCCCGTCCGCACTCGGCGTGAGTCTCCCTCCCTCTGGGACACCGTCCTGATCCCCCGATTAAGCCAGGTCCTTCAGGCGTGAGCTCTCGGGGCACCGGTACCTCTCCTGCCTGGAGTTGTCACTTTACGGATGTCGTTCTGTGATCCCTCTGTTAATGTCAGTCTCCCTGGCTATGGGGTTGGGGACCATGTCTCAGTTTGTGGCCCTCAACATGAGTTTACTTATCCCATCTGACAGATGTGCAAAATGGGGCACAGAGAGAGAAACCCCTGCCCACGCCCACACAGCTAGAGAGAGGTCAGTCCCCAGGGCGAACCTCCGCCTGTCTCTTCACTCACAAAGAAGAGGCGTTCGGACGCCTGGCTAAGCTTCTATCGGCAGGAAGCAGAGGACGCTACTTAGCAGCACACGGGTGAGACCTTTTGTGGGAAAGGTCGGATGGCTTCAAGGGCAGAGCTAGTGGACCAGAGTGTAGAGCCAAGAGCCACAGACAGTCATTTCTGGGCAAGAGTAGGACCGGGGCCGAATCAAGAAACTTCCAGCACCTTCCCGGCTGGATTTCCGAATTGCTACAGACCAGGGGCTCTGGTGCATTCCCTGTTTTGCTCCTTTTTGAACAAGAGGAGTGTCCGTAGCAGCTATGCTACGTCCATGGAGGGTGTGTCTCTGTGGGTCACAGGTCTTCAGATTGCTGGGAACAGTATTCGAGCTGAACTTAAGAAACATACTTTTTTTTTTTGCTTTAGGATGCTACATTTTGAGAGCATTTTAATGCAACAATTGATAACTAATACACATTGCATGTTAATTTTACATCAAAAAGACAAAAACTGATGAGCTCTAATTAATGATATCTATCCTAAAATATTGAGGGGGAAGACTACAGCTATGTGCAGTGTACTTTGAAATGTATCAAAATAGAGGGTGGATTAATGCATAAGGAGGAGGATGGATAGAACTATGGATATGTAATGAAGAGTACAGAAAAGCGGGAATGGTAGAATTAGATGGGGGTTATCTGAGATATTACTTTTACTTGGCCGTATGTTTGAGATTTTTCATATTAAATGATTGGGGGGGAGATGGCTGAGTAATTTCTTGACTTGGGTGGTAGGTACATGAGGGTTCCTCTGGTGATGACAATGATGATGATGTAAACTGAAGAGATAGATTTTATTTACTCCTCTGTCTCTATATTTCACAAGAATAACTATTATTTGCGTGGCTGAGCGACCTGGGGGCTCGGAGGGTCTGCGGCTGGGACACAGAGGACAGAGAGTGGGACCAGGACCCAGAGGCCATGACGGAAACCGGGAACCACACCAGGGACTAAGCTGGACCCGCTGCTCTGCAGTGAGGCCGGTGTGGCCGAGAGCAGGGCGACAGACAGGAAGTCCCTCCCCCGCCCCCGGATGCCATGAGGCCTTCCAGGGGGAGCGGGTGAGGGACAGGACCTTGAAGGCTATGTGTCCCCAAAGTGACCGGGCTGTGAGTGACCGTCACTAACATACCAGCCTTAAATTTCGCTAAAAACCATTAGATTAGATTGAGTGTCACCTCTGGGGCAGTAACTTTCCTCCATAAGCCTCAGTCTCCTCTCACCTGCAAAATGGAAATCAACTATTTATTTATTAAAAATATTTTTATTGATTCCATAGAGAAAGGAGAGAGGGAGAGAGAGAGAAAGAGACAGAAACATCAATGATGAGAGAGAATCATGGATCGGCTGCCTTCTGCACGCCTCATACTGGGAATCGAGCCTGCAACCTGGCCATGTGCCCTGACCGGGAATCGAACTGCGATCTCCTGGTTCATAGGCCGATGCTCAACCATTGAGCCACGCCAGCCGGGCGGTAATCAGCTATTTAAAAACCTCCTAAGGCAAGGGCATTTCTGCACATCTGAGTCAACGTGTATACATTTAGATCCTGCTACCCACTCATATATGTGTACACACACACACACACACACTCAGCACAGAGGTACTGGCGTGTGCACGTGGACAGTGCACAGAGTCAGGAGGAACATACACCAAAAGTCCACAGGGGAAATCGGGTGGCGGCTGATCTCTAACTGCTTTCTTAGGATTTTTTCACAGCTGACTATGTTCTACTGTGGAATCAGAGAAAACCAGCAAAAAGCAAGACCCAGCCTCGCGGCTGCAAGCCCCCCTCGAGCCGCCAGGGGGCGTGGCCCGCACCTACCTTGGTTGATGACGGGAGCCTGGGGGGCGCCCTCCACCACGAAGGAGAACATCTTCCCGCAGGCGCTCAGGGGCCGCTGGTGGCAGGCGGGCGGGGCCGTGGTCGGCCTGGGGAAGCCCTGGGACCAGCTCTTCTGCACTGGCGCTGGCCGCACGCCTGGCTGGAAGGGCGTCTGTGGCGGCAAAGGGGCGTGGGTCGGCTGCTCTGTGAACCGAGGTGGCTGTGGTCTGGGCCAAGGTGCCGGACCCCCCATCCACGGGAAGGAGAACTGCAGGGGTAGGCAAGAGGGTCAGGGGGAGTCCTGATGAGCTGGGGCGGCCTCCACCCCCTGTCCCCGCCACATCACGGCAGCCCTCGGTCTCAGCTTGTAAGTCACTTCCCCCAGGAAGCCCTCCCTGACTCTCCCCAAGTTTGGGACAGTGGTCCCACTATGTGTCACACTGCACACGACTGTGCCACTATTTATGGGGGTGGCCTTCCTGCTAGGCACCTTTCCCAGAGGTTCCCACGTGACCCCATTTAATTCACCTGGCGCTCTGAGGAGGCTGAGGCTGAGCAGGACCCGGGGACGGTCCCAAGCTGCTGCGATGTCACCTCTGAGAGGACAGGGGCTCTGGGTCTATCTCACGCAACGCCCGAGAGAAATGTGCTCCCGGGGAGCTCTTGGTTAGGAATGGCTCACGCCGCCTAAGGCATCAGGACGATTCTCCTTGGAAACTCGCTGGGGATGGGGGAGATGGGGGTGGACACAGCGCCCGCCCCTGGGACCCCAGAGACAGTTAGGAGCAAGAGCACACAGGAATCCGCTCTTTGAAAAACGGGCCCTCGAGATATTTGATTAGAGATGAGCTTCAAAGGAATGTGCTGCTCTCACAGGCGGCCCTCGCACAGCACCGAGGCCCCTCCATTAGTCAGAGCCTAGAGCAGCGGTTCTCAACCTGTGGGTCGCGACCCCTTTGGGGGGTGGGCGTTGAACGACCCTTTCACAAGGGTCGCCTAGGTTGCGTTGGTGGTATAGTGGTGAGCATAGCTGCCTTCCACAAGGGTCGCCTAAGACCATCGGAAAACATATAGAATTACATATTGTTTTTGTGATTAATCACTATGCTTTCATTATGTTCAACTTGAAACAATGAAAATACATCCTGCATATCAGATATGTACATGACGATTCATAACAGTAGCAACATGACAGTTATGAAGTAGCGACGGAAATAATGTTATGGTTGGGGGTCACCACAACGTGAAGAACTGTATTAAAGGGTGGCGGCATGAGGAAGGTTGAGAACCACTGGCTTAGGCCCTAGAGGATGTGTGCACCCACATCCCTCAGTCTGGAGCCCCGAGGGTCCCCAGGCCGAGATCGCAAGGCCAGGGAGCTGCAGAGCGCTGAGCTGCCCCAAAGGAAGCAGCCTGCGTTTCCCAGGGCGCACACGGGCTCCCCACCGCCCCCCACCAGCTTCACCTTTTCAGGGAAACTCCAGAGGTTCTGTGCGGGCCACTGCGCAACTCCTGCCTGCAATTCCACCCAATGCCCAGGAGAGGGCGCGAGGACTCGCTCCTCCTGGGATTCCCCCCCCAACCCCACCCCGACCCCTGGGTTGGGTCTGAACCTCACCGGCTCGCATCCCGGCTGCCACGCGTGTGCGCAGCTTGGAACCAGAGCAACGCGCTCAGGACCGGCTCCCCCTGGGCCTCGGGCGGCACAGAAGGCAACACAGCGACCTCTGCCCACCATGCCCCTGCCCCCGCGGGACTCACCGGGGGTGGGATTCCAAGGACGAGTTCGTAGGTCAGCACCTGGGACCCGAACCGCAGGCGGTCTCCGGGCAGCAGCTTCACGGCCACATTCTGAATGTGACAATCGTTGACGAAGGTGCCGTTGCGGGAATTGAAGTCCTGGAGCACGAAGCTGCTCTCGGCCTCATTATATTCAATGAGCGCGTGATGGTTGTCGATGTCCTTAGACTGAAAAGCAGGAGGACAGTCAGGGCCAGGAGGACAGGAAACGAGGACTAGTGAGTGCCCCCCCCCCTCGTCACCCGCCCCCCAGGTGCCTCGCCTGGCTGGCTGGCTGGTCACCACGATGCTCATTCTTTTTTTTTCTTTTTTAAATCTTTATTGTTCAGAATCTTACATTTGTTCCTCTTTTTTTCCCCCCATAACTCCCCTCCTCCCAGTTCCCGCCCCACCCTCACTCCCCCCCCTCA